AACGAGTTTTGATGTGTAGATACATGAAGGAGATACATAACGTTCTAGAGCATTCATAGTTGGTTGATAATCCAAAACACAATTATGTACACGATAAAGAGCTTTTTTCTCATCGCATGTAATGTATATACTCGTAGCACTGTTGGAGTAAAACAAACCATATGAAAAATGGTTTTTTTTTTTTTTTTTTTTTTTGGAAAAAGGGTACTATAAACGAATACATAAATTACAATCTAGAGCTAAACAAAACTTAAACAACAACCAAATACATCAAACCGCACAAACAAACATCAAAGAGAAAACTTGAGAACAATAGCTGAGGCAAAACCCTTGAACCATTCCATAGACGGGCCTTGCCATGACCACCATTGGAGGACAAAAGAAAGTGAATGAGAACTCCAATAATGTCGTGCTTCGTGCCGTAAACTTCGGAGCCCGGAACACCGAGAGAAACATACAAGCTCTCTACCAATATACCAACTTAGCCAAAAATTTTGAGGATGACCTTAAATGCAAATTGAAAATAGGGAAGGAAATTGAAACTTGCAAACCCATGAATGCAAGTTTGTGATGGAAGTTGTTGAGATTTGAAACAACCCAAAGATGAATTCTACCCGAAAAATAGACTCGCGATACCATTACACTCCCAGGGATCGGAAATTGCAATTACCTAGTAGTTTAGGAACAAACCCAAAGGAGTCATCTTTCTTAATGACTCTGCCATGAGAAACCGTAAACTGAAATATAGTTTCTCTTCCTGCAACTCTATCAACAGAGAGTGCAAGAAAATGGAGGACTTTGCTCATCCCAAACAGTAAAGATAGGGAGCCTGGTTCTAGATTTCGATTAACGGCGATGACTAACTTTGTCATCACAAAGACTAACAATGGGACGAAAGCAATTGAATGAATACTTTTAACATCTAACAACCAAGAGACAACAAGATAAGCCAAAACACCTTCCCCCTCAACAACCCTTTCTTCCTGCAAACTCCAAATGCAGGGTAACCCTTCCCTCTGCACAAACAACACCACTCCCTGGAAGACAAAACCAAGAAAGCTCCAACACTAGTCACAAAGGAAGCCACTAATTCAATTCAAGAGCTCTCACGTACCCGAATTCTTGAAACTCCCAGGGAACCTAAGTCATACCCCAAGAAGGCACTTAAATTACCAACAAACAAGACTGTTATATCTTGCATCCCCTAAAACCAAGGGCCAAACTTGCAGCAAGACTCCAAAGACAACACTCCTTCAACCCCCATAATTAGAGCTACCATAAGTAACCCAACCCAAGACAACCAGAGCAGTAGTAGGGCCGTTATTGAAAGCCGAAAGGAACACCCGCAACCAAACTATCTAACGAAAACATAAATAAACATAACCACACTTGGAACAACGACTAAATCTAGTACTCTAGCAGCCAAAGCAAAGAAAATAAAAAAGGGTTTTTCTCATTGGTAGCAATAAAAGTTTGTAAATTCTCTATGGCAGCAAATTTTTTGTCAAATTCTCTTAAATAGCATTAGTTTTACAATTATTCCCTTGTATAGCTTTATTTTATTAAATGTGATATATTAGCCTAAAATACACTAACCATGGTTATGTAATAATAATTTACTAAATTACTCTCACTTATTTTATTGAATGATACCTACCATAACCAAAACCCTCATCACTTCACTGATGAAAAACATTTAAGTTTTTACTTGTTCGATCGCTCAAACTCAAGTGCAATTATCAAAAATTCATCACCTCAATCATCTCAATCTGCAAAAAAGGCCTAATTTCTACAGTTACAAGGTAATTCCTTCTTCCTAAATTTCAAACAAAAAACAAACTTTCTGCATTAGATTGCCATGGATGCCCTGTTTTACGTATGAACTAATGTTGATGAAGTATGGTTTGTTTATTATGTATTAAGGATTAATCAAATTTTGTTTTTTTGTTTTGCTATTGTGTTTTGATTGTATTAGTAAGTATGAATGCATGGTTATTGAATTGAATATATGTATCTGTGCGTTTATCAATTCAATTTCTCTCCTTTTTTTTATTCTTTTTTAAATTTTTTTTTTCTATTTTAAAGATTGTATATTTGAAATTACCAATTCATTTGGGTATTTAGAATTATTTTGAATTCATCTATAATTTTGTTCTTTGCTCTATTTTTCATTGAATTCACGAGGCATAATTGTTCAGTGCATATGTGTCTTTACCTTGTAAACATATACAATACCGTATGAATTATGTACTGAATATCGCATTATATATTTTCTTTTAATTTGCTCTGAAGTCATCTGACGATGTAGCTGCAATCCCACTACTTGTCCATGTAATTTGTATTAATAAGGTTGCCCATTATCAATGGAAATTTGATATTTAATTGTGCCAACCTTTTGGCTATTGCTTGCAAGTTGCGGACTAATTATATGTATTTGATAAAGCTCCCTGATTGTATTGGACTTACAAAAGATAGTATACTTATATCATTCAATAAATTAAGTGAGAGTAATTTAGTAAATTATTATTACATAACCATGGTTAGCGTATTTTAGGCTAATATATCACATTTACGGAGTAATAAAATAAAGCTATACAAGGGAATAATTGTAAAACTAATGCTATTTAAGATAATTTGACAAAAAATTTGCTACCATAGAGAATTTACAAACTTTTATTGCTACCAATGAGAAAAAACCCAATAAAAAAACACTAACAGAGCTACTAGTGAGTCAACTAGAAGAAGATAGCAAAAGAAAGCCTCATCGTCCAACAGAACCAGCCACTAAGTTCAGCCGTCAAAGGCCAACGCAAGAAAAACCGCCTCACCTAAAACTAACCTTTGATTAAGGGAGGAAAACCCTAACCTTAACTTCACCTTTACCACCGGAAAAACGGTTGACAAATTACCTTTTGATGGCGGTGTAAGACTAGCCTTGGCTTCTTGTTTCGTTGATTAATTGAAACCTAACACTGACGAGTGACGACGACCGCACCAAAATCAAAATAAACCTCGATGAAATTGACAGAGCGATTTACCTTGTCTTCTTTATTAAAAATACTACTCCTTCGTTCCCTTTTGTTCTTTACGTCGGAATTATGCGCGGTTGTTAAGAAATTGTGTAAAATTGAGATGAATTGACATAAATTAATCATTCAAAGTACAATTATAGTTAAAAAAAAAGGAATATTGTACATGTGGGGTAAAGAAAGTTGGAAAGATGTAGAAGAGAGATGAGAGAGAAAGTAATTATGAGTATTGAAAACCCATTAAAATATTGAAAATTTTAAGGTGCAGCATCCTGTACCTTGCTAGGTACAGACAAAAAAATGCGGAAAGAACATGTAGCTGTTTTGTAAAGAACATATAATTTTTTTTTTAAAGAACATATAGCAGTTTTGTAAAGAACATTCAATTTTATGTTTTTTTTTATATCTAAAGAACATATGTAATATTAATAAAGAACATGATATTACTATTTAATGAACATTACTTGTATATACCCATCATAATTTTAAGACAAAATTTAAAGAACAATTCACAATAAATAATGAACATTATATCACAAATAAAAGTACATTATACTGATAAGCAAAGAACATGGACATATATTCTTTTCACTTTTTTTGGTGCAAATATGTTCTTTTTACCTTAGGCATATGTTCAGTACATTTTAATATTATGTTCATTTCAATATAACTATATGTTCTCTACATTTATATAATATGTTCTTTCCTTGAAACGTCTGTACCATGCAAGGTACCCACGCCTGTAGGAACCACACACTATTAACATATTATAAAAGGTGCATATGCACATGAAAAGTGAAGGATAATTGAGTATTTAATTTGTAAAGCAAGGGTAATTTTGTCTAAAATCAATGACTTAAAAAGGAAATATCGTAAATGTAAAGAATAAAAAGGAACATCTTAAATGGAAAAGTAAAAAACAAATGAGAACGGAGGGAGTAAAAGAAAAGGCAAGCTAAACTGAAAAAGGCTCAGTGGCGATGGCAAGGAGAAGGACGTCGATCGCCGGCAAGCAGGAGAAAAGGGGGAAGCGGTGGAAGGCAGTGGAGGGATACGAATGGGTTTTAGAGAGAGAAAGAGTCTAACTTGTTACTACTATGTACTTTAGGTTCCTCTTTTCAGTCATTCAATTTTTGTCAAAAGAACAAGTACAGGATTGTCTCAGTTACATCAAGATCTTTAATCAACTAGAGTAAAGTGATATATTTACTTCAAAGTGTCGATAACTTGATATGTTTACCCCATTGCATAATGAAACTAAACTACTTAACTAAACAGGCTATTAACAGATAAAACAGGGTCTGAGAGATTCTTTTACAAAATTAAACGTTACCTGAAAATTAACCCTTGTCGCAAATCAGCATTCCTTCAGCCTCACCCTGAAGCAATCAAAAATTGATTCATTCCAAAGAGATTACCTGAACTGATCCTAGATTGTTATTAAAATCCCGATTTAAATCTTAGAATCTTACGATTTTATGATTCATGTATATCATACGATTCGATTTACGATTCTACCCGATTTTACATATTTTTTTGAACTAGCGAAATCCTTACAAGTAAAAATCATGTTTATGTAGGTTTTTATATATAAATATTGTCAAGTATTGATTGGTTAATGGTTAAATAACTATTATCTATCAATAATTAAGTTTCAAACTCATAATTTCAATATATTTAATTAAATTTATATATGACTTCTTGATTATGCATGTTGGTACGATTCTACGATTCGATTCTGATATCCCCTTCCGATTCAAAATAGAATCCCGATTTTAATAACTTTGTTCTAGACAACGAGCAAACTCGTTGAGTTAATATAACTATAAATCACGACAATACAACACCACCAACCAATTTGACAGCTCTACCTCATCCACCCTCTATATAACTGTAATTACGTAAATCTATGTTAGAGTTGAATAGGACTGAGACGTAGATGAATTGGTAAAAGAAAGGGAAGATGGGAACTAAGTGTAAACTAGGAGAAGCTGGGGAGTATAATAGCCCCAAGATGATTAAATACAATATGATTAAACTGTTATCAATGTACACCTTCAGTCACACAAAAGAATGCTTTACAATTGACACCCTAAGATCTTAGTATGAAATTAGACATTGTTCAATTGGACGTATACAATACTTCCATTTGGTACAAACATTTCCGGTACAATTTCTTACAATATGTGAATCTTTAACAAGAGGATCTTAAAAACCAAGCAATGAACATTCTTTATACATTTGAGCTACCTACGAGCCAATTCTGTCAGTAGCTCAATATGAATATAGTTTGGCTTAACTAGGCAGCTTGACGAACGAAGGTGTCTTCCCAGCAAGAAGTAGCAGCAATGCAAAATATGGGAATGTTGTTGATGCCTTGGTCATACAAGAGCTAAACAAAAGTGTCGGCCCAACACACGCAGCATGTGTTAATACAGAAGAATATCTTCAGATGACAATCACAGTAAACTACAAAGTACACCTTATATCATTTTATTAAGGAAAATTTGTAAATTGCAGTCATTTAAAGTTAGTATTTTACAAATTATAGTTTAAAAAAAATTGCAAATTGCAGCCTAAAAGTTCTTATAAATTGTAAATTGCAACCTGATTCAACTTTTTCATCGGTTAACATGTCAAAAAATATTTAGCTAAGGTTTAAGGGGCCATTTAAGTACTTAAGGGACCGAATTAAGGACGGAATTAGTTAAAAAAAATAATGTAAGTGCCTCATTTTTACAGTGAAAAAATAGTTGCCCACAAATTAATACATTATTGTTACGCAAAACGAGACACTTACGTTATTTTTTTGCTAATTTTGATCTTAATTCGGTCCTTAAGCATTAAATTGACCCCTTAAACCTTAACCGAATATTTTTCGACACGTAAACCGATGAAAAAGTTGAATCAGCTGCAATTTACAATTTATAAGAACTTTTGAGCTGCAATTTGCTATTTTTTTTTTAAAAAAAAAAGAAAAAATTTGCAGTAATTTGCAAAATACAAACTTTAAAAGGCTGCAATTGGCAAATTTTTCTTTTACTAACAACCAAAAAATTGTGATGTATCAGTATAATAATCGATTTCAGGAAAGAGCAATCATCAAGAGCTTGATTCTTTACAATGCTTTTTGTTTTTCCTTGATTGGCTAGAGAGATGCGAATACAACACAAATGAGTTGAAAAACATAAACCAAGTTCATGCTGGAATAGGACTTCTACACCTAGACACCCGAATTAGATCGGCATTATAAAATGTCTTTATAAGGGAAATTGGGGGTTAGGGGAGAAAGGGTGGGGGGTTTACAAAATGTCCCCATAATTCCATGAAGTGATCCTCTCAGTTTTTATCAAGTTGGTTTCACTTCCTTCAAAACGAATTAAATACCCGAAATACTGACTTGTCTGTTTTTAATGTGGTATCCAGTGCCATAGAATCCAAAATTAGAGATTTTCATTAATCATCTTAATAAACAATGAAATTTGTTCACCCATTGGGAGAAGCTTTCTATGGCAAGAGTCTCAGCGATCACCACTGAGCCTGCAAAGTAACTTCTCCACCAACTGACCAGACTGATCACTAACCTCACCTGTGATACTGTCGATAACTGCTTAATAAGAGACATTTGACCAAAAAGCATGAACGCTGCTGTCAAAAGATTACAACAGGGAAGGAAATTAATCGGAAGGTCTAAAGGGTTTGGGATGGAAATGATAGGGGAAATGGGTAGAAGCAGATAAGGGGAGGTTTTTGTGAGTGATTATTCCAAAGAAGAAAAAATTGCCGGATTAATATAGTGAGCAATGACATTGAAAACCAACCCAGAGCTTGATAAATGAAATATGAGCTGAAATTTAAAGTCTAAAAATATACGAGGTATTATAGAGAGGGATGAAATTCCACAGTTCCCTTGTCGATAAATATAAATGAAATATGAGCTGAAATTTTAAGTCAAAAAATATACGAGGTATTAGAGAGGGGGATGAAATTCCACAGTTCCCTAGTCCAGAAATATGATCTATGTTAGCTTATACCTCTTGGAGCCCCCCCAAAAAAAAAAAAAAGAAAAAAAAACACACACACACACACACTTTTGTTCAATAGAACTCCAGGTAGCCAAGGCAGTGAAGGCACTACAAGACTTAAATTAGGGAGAATTTTTTAATACGAATTACAGAATTATTTTGCTTTTCCAACTTCCCAGGATTATACAATTGTACATCCTCATATATAACCAAAGTCTCCTACATTCAGCACTAAAGGCTTTTTCACTGCTGATATTATTTCTACTCAAAGATTGATGTGCATGAAGCATTGAACAAAGCATGACTTATAATCAATTACTTCAGAATTTATGCATGTAATAGAGAAAATTTTATCTCTTATTCATAAACTACCTTGTACTATTCCTAAAAAAACATAATATTACATGAAAATTCAGCAACCTTACCCTTTCCTTTTCAACCTTGTTTGAGAGTAGCAAGAGCTTTTCCCTGATCAACAAGGGAAAATAACGATCACCGCTATTCATCTCAAAAGTAGCCACTTGATTGTCCAAACGCGTCGAGTGCCCAATTGAATAATTAGAGTACCTAAAACGCAAACAAATAGTAGTTAGCCATTTGTAGCTGATGCTTCAGACTATATAGGTTAGCACCAAGTAAAAAGCTCTTACCTAAGTACTAATAAATTGGCAACTTAAATCAAAATTTTGTCTTGATAAATTTCCAAAGCATCAATGACCTTCTCTAAAAACAATTTTCGATGCAATCGGTACCTACAATGAACAAGATTAGGACAGTTGGATTTACACAAGATATTGTCACGAATAATACAAGATGTGCTCAACGGATGTCAAATAACTTGCAATGCATCCCAGTCCACCACCCGTGACCTTGGTTTACAGCAGGAGACAAAGGCAAGGACAGCAAATTACCACGGCTTAGCCAAAGAAAGGGGAGCAGAGAACAGAGAGCCGTTGAAGCAGCAGGGGACAGGAAGCAGTAGCCTTTTGTTAGCTTTTGTTTTGTAATGAACTAAAGTAGTTAAATGCCAATAGTACTAAGTCGTAGTAATTAAGGCTTGTTGCCATTTTTATGCTTGTATTGGTAGTATAAGTAGAAGTGGTCTAGCATGAAGGAGGGTATCCAGAAAATTGAGTGTGAACTTGGAGAGTAATGGCCTCAAGCCATTGACGTTATTTTGCAAGCCTTGAGCTCTCATCCATTAATTAATACTACTACAACCATTCGACCTCTAATCTTGTGTGTGAGTGACGCTATCCGTTGCAAGTGGTATCAGAGCAGACATGCCGCCAACACCGCTGACCGTGACGCCGGAGAGGGTGGCGGTGCTCGAAGAAAGGGTGGAGGAAATTTTCGAGAAGTTGGGAGATGGAGAAAATTCTCTTCAGAGGACGTTGCTGAAGCAACGCGAAGAGGCCATGGACAAGATGAGGCAAACGAACGGCGGCAAGATGGACAGGTTCCGGCAGGATATAACCCAGCAAATTAACATGACCGCGAGCAGGCAAGACAAGGTCTTGGATGAGATTTGAAACTCCCTCAAGACCCTAAATACACCACCAACTCCACAACATATTCCGGTGAATGAGGCGGTGGAGCAACCTCGGGGTTCAACGGCCTAAGGTTCGAAAATTGGGAACCAGGAGGTGGGGGCGATTACCGCAACCACGGCGACAACCGTCGAGGAACGTGGAGATATCAAAAGCTCGATTTACCGACGTTTGATGGATCTGTTTTACAAGCTGACGGAAGTCGAGAGGATTCAGGCGGCAGTGGTGGCTATTGAGGGTGATGCTCTACGGTGGTATCAATGGGAGAATCGCCGCCGCCCCGTCATTAGTTGGGAGGACATGAAACAGAGTCCTCACGCAATTTCGACCGGTCAATGCCGGAACACTACACGAGCAGTGGCTTGCTGTTGAGCAAACCGCGACGGTGACGGAATACCGCCGCGTCTTCATTGAGAAGGCGTCGCCACTGACGGACATACCGGAGAGCCTCCTCAAGGGGCAATTCATCGACGGACTTAAGGAAGACATAAGGGTGGAGATCCGAATGTTAAACCCGCATACCCTTGAAGACGCGATGGATCTGGCCATTCGGGTCGAAGAAAGGAACCGTGTCAACGGGTCAAAAAGGTTGGGTGGAGCCTTTGCCAAGCCAGGGCCCTACTCATATTTTAACAAGAGTCCAGCTACAACTCTGTTTAGAGGTGGGCCGGCCCACACTTCCCACACTAGCAGCCCACTTAACACCCAGCCTAATCCAACCCACCATATAATCCACCCAAAGCAAATTTCCAACCCAGTCAATCCAGCCAAGGATCCGTAGCCTCGACCCCCCAACACAACATTTATCAGAACAGAGCACCTTCAAACACCTCGCGTTTCAACGGTGAGGTCCGGCGACTCACTGACCGGGAAATACAGGACAAGAGGGCGCGAGGGTTATGTTTCAAGTGTGACGGGCGATGGACTGGGCCTACACATGTCTGAGTGTATTGTTGGTGGAGGAAGGAGACGAGGCAGAGCAAGGAGAGTTTGCAGCCATAGAAGAGCCCGGGGACTACGAAGAGGAGATTCCGGCCTCGGTTTCGATGAACTCCATTGTGGGGCTGACGAACCCTAAGACGATGAAATTACGGGGTTACATCAAAGGGCAGTCAGTGGTGATTATGATCGGCCCGGGGGCGACACATAACTTTATTTCATTGCAAGTCATCGAGAAATTGGGGCTGCCGGTAGTAGGTAAGAGTGCTTTTGGTGTTTCGCTCGGTAATGGGGAAACTATCAGAGGGGGTAGGGACAGTGTAAGGGCGTGCAATTGAAACTCGGAGAAGCAATTGAGATCGAAGAGGATTTTTTGCCTCTTCAATTGGGGAACTCGGATGTTATCTTAGGAGTAGAGTGGCTCGAAAAATTGGGGATGGTGATGACGAATTGGAAGCTCCAAGAGATGACTTTCACGTGGGAGGGGCAGTCCGTCACAATTAAGGGTGAGCCGAGCTTATCAAAAACCGGTATCACCCTCAAAGCGATGATCCGAACCTTGAGAAAAGAGAGTGGGGGATGCTTGTGGAATTGAATCGGATGGAAGAGGAGACAAAGGAGCAGGAAGTCAGTGGGTTACCCACTTACTTAGAAGGAGTGTTATCCGAATTTGAGGAGGTATTTGCCGAGCCCAATGGGCTTCCTCCTACTAGGGGACATGAACATGCTATCGTCCTTAAGGATGGGAGTAATCCGGTTAGTGTGCGCCCATATTGATACCCCCAATTTCAAAAGGATGAAATTGAGAAGCACATCCGAGAGATGTTGCAAGCCAGAATCATTAGGCCCTCCACGAGCCCTTTCTCTAGCCCGGTGCTACTAGTGAAGAAAAAGGACGGGTCATGGCGTTTTTGTGTCGATTACCGGGCCCTCAACAACGATAAATACCCGATTCCGGTGATCGATGAGCTACTAGATGAACTTCATGGGGCACAAGTCTTCTCCAAACTCGATCTAAAGGCCGAGTCAAATACTTGTGAGGCCGGAAGACACTCATAAGACGGCGTTCCGAACTCATGAGGGGCACTACGAGTTCCTTGTGATGCCATTCGGTTTGACTAACGCTCCGGCCACTTTCCAATCGCTCATGAATGAGGTATTTCGCCCTTATTTACGCAAATTTGTCCTTGTATTTTTTGATGATATACTTATTTATAGTGTGAACCGTGAAGAGCATGCTAAACACTTAACTCTTGTATTAGCTACTTTGAAAGAACATACATTATTTGCTAGCAAAAAGAAGTGTGAGTTTGGTAAAGAAATTGTGGCCTACTTAGGCCATGTAATCTCAAGAGATGGAGTGGCGGTGGATCAAGACAAAGTCAAAGCCATGTTAACTTGGCCCACTCCGAAAACATTAAAGGAGTTAAGGGGCTTTCTGGGTTTGACCGGGTACTACAGAAAGTTCATAAGGCAGTATGCTCAGATCGCCCACCCCCTAACTGACCAACTGAAGAAAGATAATTTCGGGTGGTCTGAAGCGGCAGACGCGGCGTTCCGGAGGTTGAAGGAAGCGATGAGCACTGCACCAGTGTTAATTACGCCTGATTTCTCGAAAACCTTCATTGTTGAATCGGATGCTTCCGGTTTTGGTCTAGGGGTCGTACTAATGCAGGAGGGGAAACCGGTTGCATTCTACAGTAAGGTTCTAGGACCAGGCTGCAAATCGGTCTACGAGAAGGAGCTTATGGCCGTTTTCTTAGCGGTGCAAAAATGGAAACACTATTTGTTAAGCTGGCGGTTCATCGTGAGAAGCGATCAACAAAGTCTTAAATATATCACGCAACAAAGAGAAATTGGGGCCGAATATCAGAAATGGGTGAGGAAATTGATTGGTTTTGATTTTGAATTACAATATAAGCCGGGAATCTCGGACAAGGTGGCGGACGCCCTGTCGCGGCGGGGGGAAGGTGAGAAGACAGCAAAATTTGGGGCATTGTATGTCAATCAGGGAATTAATTGGGGTAATCTCAGTCGTGAGATTGCGGAGGACGCGGAGATTCAGAAAATAACGGCGGAAGTAGAGAAGGGAGAAGGGCCTCAAGGGTATTCAATTGACAACTTGCACTTGGTGTATAAGGGGAGGTTGGTAATTTCCCGGAAATCCAAATTCAAGCTCGCGCTGCTGAAGCTATACCACAATACTCCGGAGGGCGGACATACGGGTGACACAAAAACATATTTGAGATTAGGGAGTGAGTGGTTTTGGGGAGGAATGCGAAAAGATGTGGCAGAATATGTTCGAAATTGTGCCGTTTGCTAGAGGAACAAACACTCTCAGCAATCCCCGGCGGGTTTGATGCAATCTTTGCCGATTCCGGAGCAAGTTTGGGAGGATATAAGTATGGATTTCATCGAGGAGTTGCCGCGGTCGAAAGGGGTTGACACCATTTTGGTAGTGGTCGACCGCTTAACCAAATACGCGCATTTCATCGGCCTTAAACACCCGTTCACCGCTTACTCGGTGGCTGAAATTTTCATAAAGGAGATCGTGAGGTTACACGGTGTGCCGGGCAGCATTGTGTCAGATCGAGACCGTGTCTTTGTTAGTACATTTTGGAAGGAGCTTTTTCGAATGTAAGGGACCGAATTGAAGAAGAGCACTTCGTATCACCCCCAAACCGATGGACAATCGGAGGTGGTGAATAAGAGATTGGAGACCTACCTATGTTTTGCCGGGGAACAACCCAAGGTGTGGGCACAATGGTTGCCATGGGCCGAGTTCTCGTACAATACTACTTCACACTCGTCCACATTGCTGACTCCCTTCAAGGCTTTATACGGCAGGGACCCTCCTAAGTTGGTGAGGATAGGAGGGGGTCAAACTACGGTAGACACCGTGGAGGAAATGTTGAAGGCACGGGATTTGATGCTCAATGAGCTGAAATTTAACCTGGCTCGAGCCCAACACATCATGAAGCAACACGCTGATGGAAAACGCAGGGAGGTAGAGTTCCAGGTTGGGGATTTTGTCTTTCTAAAGCTTCAACCGTATCGACAGAAATCGCTTGCGAAGAGGCCTTTCGAGAAATTGGCTGCGAGATTTTATGGGCCCTTCGAAGTGCTGCAGCGAATTGGCAAAGTGGCCTATGAGTTATCCTTACCCGATCATTGTCGTATCCATCCAGTCTTTCACGTGTCACAGCTCAAGAAGGCTCTTAGGGAATTACCGAGCTCTCCAACCATTCCTGCCCAGATTACTCCGGAGTTGGAGCTCGTGGTGGTGCCGGAGAGTGTAATCGAGGTAAGGTCAAGGGCGGGTCGCAAGAAAGGGTCTGAGGTCTTAATTAAATGGCAGGGCCTTCCGGACTTTGAGGCCACATGGGAGGATGCCGAAACGCTCAAGGAGTTTCACCTTGAGGACAAGGTGGCTCTTTTGGGGGGGAGTATTGCAATGCATCCCAGTCCACCACCCGTGACCTTGGTTTACAGCAGGAGACAAAGGCAAGGACAACAAATTACCACGACTTAGCCAAAGAAAGGGGAGCAGAGAACAGAGAGCCGTTGAAGCAGGGGACAGGAAGCAGTAGCCTTTTGTTAGCTTTTGTTTTGTAATGAACTAAAGTAGTTAAATGCCAATAGTAGTAAGTTGTAGTAATTAAGGCTTGTTGCCATTTTTATGCTTGTATTGGTAGTATAAGTAGAAGTGGTCTAGCATGTAGGAGGGTATCCAGAAAATTGAGTGTGAACTTGGAGAGTAATGGCCTCAAGCCATTGACGTTATTTTGCAAGCCTTGAGCTTTCATCCATTAATTAATACTACTACAACCATTCGACCTCTAATCTTGTGTGTGAGTGACGTTGTCCGTTGCATAACTTAGTTGTTTAAAGTCTTCGCAATTGGAACCTAACATCTCAAATCAAATCTTGTGAACAACATTGCCCTTTCTTGTAGCACTTAAAAATAACATTGTAAGATGAATTCCTAATTACTACAAACCACAAGGCTAAGATGTATATTAAGATGATGTCATGTGTAATGTGAGAAAAGTCAGTGGCCATGGTTATACTTCGCCATCTCTGAGTATGTTAATAGAACACAGTTATTACTCCTACGAGTAGGAGTGTGAAAAAATAGACTTCGACCAAACACTGGACCTAAACCAAAAAATTTTAATATTGTGGAATAGAATAGATTGGATTGGCACGAAGAAATCTGGTCCCGAAAGGTGAGATTCCAAGTTCAATAAAAATTTTCCAGTCCATAAGAGAAACTCGTTTCTTATATTTGTTTTTAGAAGTCAAATGGCAGGTCAAACATATTGGGACTTGTGACCCATTTGCCAATTATCTTAATTTTCTCACTTCTTCCGCAAGAGCATCTATAATGGCTAGCAAATTCTCCTTGTAGCTTCAGGTTGCCACGTCATTATTCTCAAACTTCATCATTTAAGCTAAAATATCCATAATGGCACGCTACAACCTTTATTCAAAAAAAATAAAATAATAATAATAATAATAATAATAATAATAATAATAATAATAATAATAAAGACAATAAAAAAAAGGAAAAAATAAATGCATAAAATAAAATAAAAATAAAAATAAAAAACAAATCTATTAATCAATCAAAGTGACTTTGGGTGTAGTGAAACTACATAGCTTTAACAATTTACTGAATCGAAGTGGCTTTGGCTGTAGTGAAATACATAGCTTTGTAGAGCTATCTTATTTCATCAAAATTACACCCCTTGTAGCTCCACACTAGCTAGCTACTAGTTCTAACAATTAGAAATTGCAAGCAAGGACCTCTTGTCGTGGATGCTATTGACTGAACCACCCTCAATTTTACCCATTACCTCTCTCTTTCTTCCAAAAGTTAGAATGCCATCAAATTAATCTATTTTCTCTCCTAAAAAAACCACACATGATGAATGAATTTCTTCCTCAATTTCATCATAAAATTCTAGAAATCGATTACTACAAAGTACAAACCCTATTTCTAACGATTGAAATTTTAAGGCTTTTATTTTTTCCAATGGGTTTTCCGGTGAAATACATGATTCAAATGCCATAGGTTATACTTGTGCAGCCTCCTCCCCATTTTACCTACTTCCTCCTTCATACTTTATACTTATATCTACCAATTTTCTGAAAACTGAAGAGCTTTAGGGAAATTTGGAACATTTTATTTTTATTTCCTACGTTGATAGCTTCTCTAAACAACAAAGAAAATGGAAGGAAGGATGAAGGCTACAACAGCATTGGAACATGCCAGTATTAATCTTTAATTTTCTATTCATATGTGTGAATACATAAGTCACCCTCTTTGAATTATTAAGCGATTATTTTGAATCATTTATTTTACAGTGCGTTTTCTGTGTACAAAACGGGTAACCCTGATTGATTGAGTAACCCATGACCGAGTAACCCCTAACCAACCGAAAAAACCTCCGAGTAAGTAACCACTGACCAAGTAACCCGTGACCGATCAAGTAACCCCTAACTTTGTGACTAACCGATTAACCCCAGAATAAGTAACACCAGGCACACAGCACATATGAAACTTGGTATTTATGTTATATGATGTTTGATCTACATGTAAAATCACAAGTACTTGTAAAGTTGTAATTTTTTTCAAAAATTCCAAGTCACTCTCTTTTTTCTAAAACCCTAGCCTCCATTTTTAAATTTAGGAGGGGCAAAACTGCTGAAAAGCCCCAATCTTTGTTTAATTTAGGTTTATAATAACTCTTCCTCTTCTAAGGGGAAACATTTCTCTTTTAAAAGAGAGGATTTTTCTACTTCTTTAGGAGGATTTTGCTCCTTCGAAATTGAGTTTTTCTTCTCTCTATTAAGGGAGAATTTGCTTTTATGTTTTATTGATTGCTATAAAGTTGTGTCGTGGATAAAGATCAGTGCAGGATCGAAAAAAAGGTTAATCTTTCAATTACAATCTAATGAGTTTGACGAAAAAAAATTCACAACAACTGATCGATAGACGATGTGCAATAACGGTCGTAGCTATGCTGTAGGATGTTTTTATTAAATTCAATTATCACGTATTTGACATAAATAAATCACTTTGTGGATGTTGTACTCCCTCCGTTTTTAAATACTTGCTCCATTTCTCCACGAGCGGAAATTTTAGGAGAAATTGAAGAAAGTAATAAAATATGGAGGTAGTGGGGTAGTTGAGAAAATAAAAAATTGTAAAAAACAAAAGTAGTGAAAGAATAGGAGGAGAAAGAGTATTATGTTGGGTCCACTAAGTGTGAGAAATGAATTAAATATTGTAAAAGATTTCCAAAAAAGGAAATGGAGCAAGTATTTAAAAACGGCCGGAAAAGGAAAGTGGAGCAAGTATTTAAAAACGGAGGGAGTATAACTTTTATTTATGAATCAATTTTATTTCAAAAAAATAAATTAATAAAAAAATAAAAATAAAACTCTAGATCTTCGGGTAATTGTTTTAAAAATAGACCGAAGCGGAAAGGCATTACGGAGCAAATAATTTTATAACCCAATCTAAGATATTTGGGGATTCCGACTTCAATCCATTCAAGATTTACTACAATTCTAGACTAGTGCACATTTCCTAGGTATGAGTAGGGATTTGAGTGTCAGGTAGTTTAAGATATTTGGGTCTCGATGAGAACTCCAACTACGAGTCTTAAAGGCAATTTGAAGTTCAGCACATGAAAGAAGCTCATTAAAATAATTATGTGATAGCTTCCCCAAGCTACGAGAAATCTTAAAGCTTTTAAGAACATCTTAAAAATAAAACATACTTGATTGCAGCTTCCAGTGTTCTTCGCGCATCCGATGTAGTATCTGTTGTTTGTAAATAAAAAAGTTAGAGCTAAACCCAAAGAATTAAAAATACATCAGTAGTACAGTCCAAGATATAATCCAAATTATAAAATGAACAACCTTGCGTCAATAAAGCATTAATATAGCACTGCCGTCTTACCCCCTTTTTATGTAATTTCTTGTCTAGGAGGATAAGTATTGTGAATAAGAACATTATAGGAAGGAAAACTTATAAATGAAGGCATATGTAAGATTTTGCATATAATCTAATGCCTAACCACAGAAAACAACACAAAATGTTTATTATTATTTAAAATAAGCAATTAACAGGTATCCTATTGTTTTGGCAAAATGATTTACTACAATTTAGTTAGGGTAGATATCTATTTATAACCCTGAAAAAAATAATAAAAATAAGAGAATAAAAAAAATAGATGTTGGTCACTGTGAACATAAAAAATGGGGAACCAGGGTAAAATAGAAGAGGTTTAAATTATGTTATCAATAACTATATACTAAAAGACACACCAGCAATGACACGTGTCATCTCCTAGTGTGTCCTAATTTTTTTATTTCAAAAAATCTATTTAAGAAACAAATCTCTTATTTATATAAAGTAATAATTATGTATATTAAAAAGATTTGATGTATCTTGTAAAAAAATCTTATTAACAATTATAAACTTACACAGAAAATAAAAAAAATAATATTCTAAACATAATTTGTGACATGAACTATTTTTTTTAATAGAAAATACATACTTTATTATGTATTATGTATTACAACAAGATTATATATTTTTTTTTATTGTGTAATAGAAGTTCCATGCTTAAACAATGAAATGCAAATATCAAATCAAATATGATAATTTTGTTATTTCTTTGAATAATTTATGATTAGAATTATTGAAAATTACCGTGCGTGGCACGGGACCTAACCTAGTTTGATTAATTTGCAAGTGTCCTGATCGATTATTATGACTAAAGTTGTTTACACATCATACTTGAGAATTTAGAGTCTAAATGCATGCTTAGTGAGTAGCATAAGTACAGCAGAATGAGGAAGTGCATACTGAGCTTATTAGTTAGTTAGGCTTACTCCCTCTTTTTGATAATGGAAGACACTCAGATATGTTTGACCATAACCGATGCATAATCTTCAACAACCGGTCACTTTACAGAAATTGCTCACTTTCCAATATCCTTGGGGGGGGGGGGGTTATATATATTTATAAATATGCTCACAAACATGAAATAGGATAAAGAAAATATCATGATTAATTAATAAATGCAAAAGTTTTTTAAATGACTTTATCATGTTTATAAAATGGCTACTTCGAACATCGGCCCTTAGATTACAAATGAATGGTTCAAAATCATTTCAACAAATAGAAACAAAGAAACATGTAATTTAAGCTTTTGGACATTTGCAAGATGTTACACCTCCACAACCATGTGCAGTTTTAGCAGCAGCACAACTTCAAACAAAATACTCATATATTGCTCATTTAAATTTATAGTTTAGTTTATGACCTATAGATGGAAATCTTTTGAATCCAACTATCATCTCCAAATAAAATCAGCTTATATGATTTGTGACAAAGAAGATATTGATGTCCGTAGGTGACCCTCCCAACAATTATCGACAATTTGTACATTTTTCCACCCTTGCTTTTATTTTTACATGATTATGACACAAAGGTCTCCCAAATAATAAAGTAGGATAATATAAATAATAAGACCTACCACTTGGTATCAGAGGGAAAGATTCAACAGAATCATACATCTACACCTATTCTAAACAACATATAGAACATAAACAATATAACATATAGAACATAAAGATGAAACGAAGCAGGATGCACGCCGATATTTAAATAATTAAACATCATATAGAGAATTCACTCACATATATTTTATAAGTGTGAAACCTGTTTCATACTGTGTTTTAAATAAATAAAAAAATAACTAAAAAATAAATTTTAAAAAAATAAAAAAAAATAAATAAAAATAAAAAACACCCAACACCACTTTAAGGGGCAAGATACATCACAGGGAATCCATTATTTCAATCATCACAGTAGTGAAGACCATTGCTCCATTTACCTAATCTCCTTCGCTGCTTTGTTTTTTTCCATAATCAGGAAGTAATATACAACATATATGCAGAACTTAAGAGATAACGGCTCTAAAAATTACCTAAAATTTTTTGATCTTGCTTAGCTGTTGTAGGATACTTGGCAAGGAAATTTTGGCATTGTTCCTGTAATTCCTTTGCTGCCTTTCTTTCTGTGCTAGGAATCATAGGCACATCACCATCAGACCAAGTGGGCAACGTTCTTGCTGCAGCTATGACTGCTCCATCAACAAAACTATCTCCTTCTTTTGATAACTGACCTAAATGTAATAGAAAGGACAGTACTCACATCACAAATGTGGTGAAGTATGCAAAGTAAAATCTCCCATTACGAAAATCCCCAGAACTTACTATTAAAATAATATTCTTCTGGAAGTCCAGTAATGTTGAAGACAGACAAGAATGTATCCAAATGTATACGGGAATCACCAGAGAAACATATGGCATCCCAAGGATTCTGGAAAGGATAAAACAGAATTAAGGCCACATTAAGATGTAACATGTGGTCAGAAAAAACTTTTCAACAATAAATGCAAGCAGAAATCATTTTTCTTTTCCAAAGCCAAATACAGGCCCTGCATGTTACAAGCATGATCTGAAGATACGGTTGCACCGCTCTTGTGGTCATGATATTGAGAATACGGTTGTCGCAGCCAGATTGTGATTGTCAGATTGTGAAAATGGATTTATATTAAAAAAACACGTACACCACAAAAAAAAAAAAAAAAAAAAAAAAAAAAAAAAAAAAAAAACCCAAATTATACCATCTCTCAATTCCCAATACTTTCAAGGCAATAACTTAGTATATTTAGTCTCACAAAAATTCTGAGTATTGGCAGTGATATGTAACGAACGCCACAGGCAAGCAGAAGGGTGAGATTGGATTACATACACAAGAAGTGGCAAGAGAGGACAGGGAGAGCCGTCAAGGGTAGAAGTGGAGCAGCAACATGAAAATCAGTGAGCACCCAAGGCAGAGCTCTTCTCGTATCACATGATGACAGCTGCACACCTTTTGTCTTTTGTCAATACTTTATTTTGGCTATTTGTGTAGATATAAGAAAGGGGAGGGAAAAATGTGCTAGGTAGCTAGAGAATTGTAGTCATTAATTAAAGGAGTGGTGACCTTAAGTCACTGAGTGAGAGTGGTGGCCTCAAGCCTCTTTGTAAGAAAGCTTGAACCTTTATTTATGAAATAGCTTCCTTCTTCTCTAAATTAATTTCTAGTATTGTTTGTGTGTTGATTGCTTAGTGTACTAGTTTGTTACATGATACTGATAAATAATATAAAATTAATGATCAATTTATTTACAGCACTCATTATTTGAATGTTATTGTGCAATGCCTACTGCATAAAAAAATTTAAAAGAATAAGAGAAAGGTCCAGCCACAATTAATCGTAATAAATAAGGAATAGCACAGGTTGGGGGAAAAAATTGTCCAGCCACAATTAATCAATAAATAAGGAATAGCACAGGTGGGGGAATAAAAAAAATTGCCCAGCCACAATTAATCAATAAACAAGAAATAGCACGAGGGGGGGGGATTAAAAACTATCCAGCCACAATTAATCGCAATAAAGAAGTAGCACAGGTGGGGGAACAAAAAAATGTCCAGCCACAATTAATCGCATTAAAAAAGAAATATCACAGGTGGGGGAAGTCAACAACAGCAAAAATAACAATCAATCCATCCAATTGAAAAGTACAGATTCCAGAAATTACCACAGCTGAGGAGAATCCGAATCTTTGCATATACATATGGTTCTGCTGTCCACTCATGTAGTTCAAAGTCATCTATAGCAATCAGCAAAGCAAAAAATTATAAATTGTTTTTTAAAAATATTATTTACAAACACAAAATATAATTAGAGGTTTCTTGGCAGATAAGAGTAGACAAAAGAAAGATTAGGATTGGTTAGTTCAGATCTGTGAGCATTACAGTTGCAATCATCAAATACTGACAGATAAAGCTTAAATAATTATTTCCAAAGCAAAAAATTAAGTCATTTTGCTACTCCAAAATCTGGTTCAAGCCTATAACTTTATTGGATATTATAGAAGAAAAAAATATATAAAAAAAAAAAAAAATTGAGTGATAGCAAGACTCGTAATTCACACACACACACACAGACACAATATATCACAAGTTTGAAACAACTTTTTTTTTTTTGACCCAAATGAATACAAAGCCAATTATATTATAAATCTAGTTTAAATTTTTAAGCTAGTCAATCAACTTTTCATAAGTACAATTGTACATGATTAAATAAAATGAAAGATCAAGCACCCTATGCAGAAACAAAGAATTCGAGGACTTCAGCAATGTCAAGCCTTCAGGTAGTTCGTCGTTTGGTGAGTCAAAAGTATAGCTTGTGGGAGATGTGTCTTCTGTGACACGAGTGATTAGCAAATGTGTTCAAGATTTTTCTCCGGGGTGGTTGATATATGATGATTGCACCCTATCTAAATCTTCTGACGTCTTTTTAAATTCTTATGTTCATCGGGTAGGCAACACGGTACCTCATTGTTGTCGAGGCAAAGAATCCAGTGTCGGCTATAATCCACCCTGAGGAAGAGGTGGAACTTTGGGCGGCTGGTAATGTAATGAACCAACCAAAGGAGTGATGTGAGAAGCAAAAGGGTGCAAAGCACTAGGATTCCCAAACTTGATGCAAGCACAGCCACCTTTAACATTAATACTTGGACGAATATTCATAATGCACAGAAAAATAAGATTCCACTATTCACTCACCAAAAAAAAAAATCACCATCACCATTACCTGTTAATCTAGCTGATGTAGGATTCTAGGTCCATGGAAATCTTGAGACATACGGTCACATTTCTATTAGTCAAAAAACAATTAAAGGATTGCTTCAACTAATGGAGATAAATTCAATATTGTTCAATTCAAACAGACATTAAAAATAAAAACATGAAATGGGAACCTTTTATTATCTAATGCTCTTGAACAAGCCTTACACTATTTGCTGCTGCATATTTTCTAAAATATAAAAGCTCCACTTAAATATTTTGCAACCAAGTTCAAAACCTGTTGGCACAGTAAAAAAATATATACTTGCTTGCACTCTACATGCATCATAGCAATAACAAACTCAGTGAGAGCAATTTTGAAACTGCATCAAGGGAATTCCATTAAAAAAAAATAAATAAAAATATAAAAATGACTTACCTCCTCCCCTTTCGTTATTTTTCTTCCAGGATTTATCATAACCTCGAGCATTCGGTCTTTAAAACGCCAATGGAAAAAACAATTAGGCTGAAATGAGTGGTTCAACATATCTGCAATAAATAAGCACACTCTCCCAATTTTATAATACAAATTAGGGCAAGCATAAACCAAAGTAAATTAAGAATAAAGAAAAAAACTCAATCCATCCACAAAATAACAGTCGTACAAACTAATTTTGTATTTCCACGAATAGAAGCCTTGATTCTTTTAAAGCAAACTGACTTCAATTCTAACATGTGATTTGGGTCACATAAAACAGCCTAATGTTTCTTACATTGTTTCTCAACATAATATCTTATTGCATTATTAACAATATGTACCATAAAGCCTACCTCTACCCTTACGTCTTCAAAAACTTTATTAGTGTGCCAAACCTACAAGGACTTTTCAGGGACTATTTTTTTCCCATAGGAAAGCAACTATAGTGGCCTATTAATACCTACAGCAAGTAATTTGACCAATGAGGGGTAATGTAGGGAGAAGCAAGAGAAAAGATATGTTGACAACTAATATAGCTAGCCTTGGAATCATGAGAATCCTATCCTTTAGCCAACGCACAGTAATGGTGCTCAGCAATCCTCACAGACTGACGAGATATACTATGGTTTGCAGAAAAGATACTAACAGATAGAGTATAGATAAGGAGAGAGATGTTACTGCAAATGTTTTTGAAGCCCTGAGAAGCCTAAGTTTTGAAATTCCGTGAGAAAATTTGGCTATTTGGCTATTTGGCTATTTGGCTCGGAGGGTAAGCAGAAAAGATACTAAAGGAGCAGACAATAAACAAGGAGAAATATGTTGTTGCTGCAAACGTTAAGTTCTGAGGAGCCTGAGTTCGGAAAAAGATTCTGCAATTTTGGCTCATTGGCTCAAATTAAAGGAGAGCCTCTAACTCCCTTGGAGAGGGTATGGACTAAAAATAGCCAATAACCCGGGAAGCATATAAAAATAAGATTTTCTTGCATAAAATAAGCTAAGGATTATGAAGGATATTTGTAAATGCATAAGAGGACCAAGTAAAACGAGTGCCTGCCATCAATTATAATAGTCATGATACAGAAGATCAATTTATATAGAAAGAACAGGAGAGAACTATCCCCATACACAACATGATTGCCAGCTAGCTAATGCATGAACACCTATCCCCAAGAAAGTGAACAAAATGAATAAACATTCTCCCTGCTTCACTTTGTATAACAACAATATGAAATTGAGCATTATGGATTTTAAAGGAGGCCTTTCATTGGTGCACAAAGTTAAATTCCCCCATGCCTGTGCAATCTTGCGCGGCAGACAAAGTCTATTGAGTGTAAGCAAAGAGCCTGAAAATTATAAAGTTGTGCATGAGCAGCTCATTGCTTGCTTCCAACTCATTTCTCCGGTAAATTATCTAAGGCTTTCAAATATAAGAGTAATAGTTGCAATTAAGACTAGTTGAGTTTAAGTATGGTTTAAATAACACAGCAAAAACATACAGAAAATTTTCAAGGCCAACCTCACACAGGTATCAAAATGGATTTCTTCAGACTTTAAATATAATACTTTTTGTTGGTTACTGAGAAGAGGAAGGGGTATATTTTAAGGAGTTAAGATTGGAAGGTGTTGCTTCGGACAGAGTGGGCAGTTTTTATGATCTGTGGCTTACAAAAGTCATTATTTAATACACCTTCATGGCCAATCCCCATTCAGTTCAGTAGGCTGGACAGTTTAAGGTAAATTCAATCAACTTCTTACTTGATTGTGTGACAGTTGACAGTGAAGTGGATTTTATAATAGTTAGTGGAATGATTAAATTTTATTTTACTATAATTAGGTTATAGTGGGTATTTTTTTTTATTATATTTAATGGATAGTGAGTCCAAAGTGAGGTGAGAGAAATAATAAAGAGTGGGTCCATGTCATATATGGAAAGAGAGTGAAGTGTGTAACTATATAAGGACGACTTGACAAGGAAAGTGTGTCAATTACAAAGGATGGAGGGAGTAAGTCTTTTTTTAGGATGAAAGTGTGTCAAACTGTCAATTAAAGTGAGGTGAGAAAAATAATGAGTGGTTCATGTCATGTATAGAAAGAAAGAGAAGTGTGTCGGCTATATAGGGATGACTTAATACATAAAGTCTGTCAATTATATGAGAACGGAGGGAATGAATGACTTTATACAGAAAGTATATCAATTATACGGACCAGGCTGGTACTGGTCTATCACTACTCCTGTTCCTTCTTATTGCTTACACTTCGCTTATTTCCTATTCTGGCAAACTTCCTTTAACACATACTGACATACCGCACTTACATCAAAGAACAGAGATAGTATAATATAAGGACTTTAAATCACCAGTTTAAAGCACTGAATGGAGGACAACAGCAGTAACGTCTTTAACTTACCAGCATAAGGAATCAACATATTTGCATCCTGAATTAGGGCACCAATCCTTAACTGCAAGTTTATGCAACGTGTTTGAGCGATACCAACAGCCCACATGAATGTCTTAGGATCACGTGCCATACGTTTTATCTTGAGAGGTGCAGCAGAGTGCTGAGCAAAATGAAACAAAAGATGCATCCTGAATTAGGGCAACAATCATAAATGGCTACAACAACAGTAGATAAAATAAAAAAAAAGAAAGGGGAAAACAGAAGAATCTAAGTACCCAGTTCTTTTCCCAGAACTCTAGGCAACGATGTTGTTGGTCCCTCATTGTTAGCTCCAAACTTTGGTCCTGCAACTCCAAAAGATCCTCCTATGACAGGAAAAGGTAAATAAGTTGTGGTGATTCATCACAAAATCACAGCTATAATTTGATACCTATACAGGTTCAATAATTGGCAAATACATTTATCAAGTCAAGAGTCTGAAAAGGTTGAAATTTGCTTCTATAAAGCAGCAGTGTAAGGCTATGCAAGTGAAGTACTGAGCCTAATATAGGCCAGAACTCAAAATCAAACGACTTAGTCCAAGCTTACAATTGACAAGAGACTAAACTTTTGTGCAAAATTTGCTTGATGCCAAGGAAACTACTTCAATATCAAACACTAGCAAAGTAGAGAGAGTAGCAATTACTTTTTTTAAATAGTAGTAGTCATATAAAGGAAAATATTAAAATTGAGAAATGATCAGTAATGTAAATTAGGAAAGTCAGATACAGAAACGTTTAATAGACTGACAAAACGAAACTATAACTACTAAGATTAAAATTCTAACACTTAATTGTATGCAGAGATTAATACAAACTCAGAGCAACAATTCCAGTATCAAAATGATAAAAAGATCACCACTAGAGATGGTAATGGAGTTTAAATTTGAAACAAATCCAGATTAATCTCATTTGTCCCATAGGAATTGAATCAGAAACTTTGGACACAGAGATATGATCCATAAGAAGGCAGGTCACTTCATTTCAATCAATTTAGCCATAATGCTTCTTATCAACAAATATATATATGATGATTCACCGTATAATAACCAAAAGTAATAGAGCATGAAATTTTGAAAGACCTAAATTTAGTTTAAGAAGAGACCATAATCATATTGAAGTGAATAGAATGATAATATGCATCGGTGAGTGATTTATTGAGGAAAATGGACTTTGAATATTAATTCAAATTTAAAAGAATTAAGCCAAATGGCCATTAGAAACATTACTTTAACTCTTAAAGGAAAGTAGATTTGGAAAGGCACTAGTTTTAATTAATTATCATTCCAATGAAAATGATAAATATAGTTCAAATAAAATTTTTTGAACATCCCATTTGTGTCACCACAAATCTACCACTAATCCCTTGAAGGGTCACCAACAGACGTGAAATATAGTGGAAAGATCTTAGGGATGCTTTACATAAGGATTTGGCACCGCTTTTATCTCAACAGTAGAAGCTGTTTGTATTTCTATTAGATCAATGTAATGGACTAGGAAATTGAGCCAGCAAAGCCACCTAGCATCAAACAGTACCAGAGAAGGGGCAAAGCAGTCGAGCCAAGTAGCCAACCACCACCAATCACAGCAGCAGCAAGCTTAGGGAGTGAGGAGTTGGCACAAGCAGACAAAATAAATTAAGAGCTGAAGGGAGGAACAACATCGAGTAGTGGAACCTTAGCACAGCAGTGTTTGTGAATGATGACACATTAATTAAATGACAGCTAGTAAATTTTTGCAGTCCTTGTTTGTATACAAATTAAGGAATAGAGAGGGGGGGGGGGGGGGGGTGTAATGTTTTTGGCACGTGATTACACTTGTATTTGAGATTTGTATCCTCAAGATACTCCCTAGAGATTGGTAACTTCCAAGGTTTTACCTTACAATCAGTCAACTATCCACTACTAGCTGCTATATTTGCTCTGTTCTTGTGTGTGAGTGCGTGTGCGTGTTACTGTGTTATTGCAGTTAAGTGTGCATGAGGGTTGAGTCCCGCACAATCAAACACCAATATATAGACAGCGATAGTTAATAGCCTAATGCCTCAAAGTGTTGCATGATGAATTTTTTCTCCAAGCCTTTGCGTGCTTACGTCATATTGCTAGATTGTGACAATGAATCATCACATAAACTTGTAAATAAAAAAACCAACCAGCATAGTTAAACCCTTATTAGTATTTTGTCAACCCTCGAAAGAGATGGATTTGGCATTGATCATTCCATGAGATACTCACAAGCCAGATGAGCTTAAATTTTAATTCTCTACAGTCTACACTAAAGAGACAAGAATTTAATAATAAAGACACTGAAAAGAATGAGAAATCAGTCAAATTAACAGTTTTCATCTTCAGATCACAGTTATACCTCTGTTGCAAGAAGGAAGCTAGTGCAGTCGTCAGGGCTTGGCAAGAAGTCACCATACAACTGCCAGAAGTTATCATCTTGATCAAAAGAATGCAAAAGAAGGCAAGCCAACCTCAAGTCCCAGTCTGTCTGTCAGCACAATCCATCAGCACAAGTAATTAACATGTTCCAGGAAAAAAAGTCAGATAATAAATCTATGGTCACGTAATAACTGAAGGACAACTCAAAGTTTATATACTTGAGCTGTCCCAAAAGGGCCAATAAAAAATTAAATATGTCCCCTATTAGGGGGTCAACATGTTTGTAGCTTTAACACTTTTTCCTTTTTTTAATAAAACATAGAATAACATGTAGCTTCATGTAGTAAAAATACCTTCGGATCAGTTGAGTTGATAATATCAAATATGGGATGACCAACTGGCACAATATCTGGAAAGAACATCCATGGGAGCCTTTTGCTAATTGTTAACATCAGTTCCAGAGGAATCTCCATGATCATCTAGATTATCGTGTAGAATGACGTGTAAAATTATCGGCATCACATAAGTATATGTGCCAAAATTATAAGTAAGTTACTTTTTCAATTCAAAAATGCAAGATGAGAAAATAAATAGATTATTTGTCTAAATATGCATTAAGAGAGGAAAATATTAATTCAAAGCAGATACTTCCTCCGTTCTTTAATAATTTCACCATTTGGCCTTACACATAAATCACCCTTAAACATATTTATGATTTATACATAAGGCATAATATAATCATAAGGGATCTTGTTAAGATTCGACTCAATATATACTTCTAAAATATCAACTTATATACTCCGTCCAGAAAGTTTGCCTCACTTACTTCACAATACTTACACCTTTTGAGTTTCCACTCACTCTCTCATAAGTTATATACCTTTTTCTTACACCCACCCACCATTTTCATTCACCAACCCACCTTTTAGTAATATCTTACTAAGTCAAACTTTTCTCTTAACCAACTTATCTCTCCAAACTTTCCATACAATATCAAATCAAACTTTTGGGGGGGAAAGAGAAAGTAATGTTCACCAAAAAAAGTTAAGCGAAATTCTATATGGAGCCTTCAACTTTTTAATATTCTATATGGAGGCAAGGCAAAACTTTTCTTCTATAAAGTGACCCTCTACTTTGGATTGATTCACATAGTGACCTCATAGGATAATTTGTGGCCAATTATTCATTAAAACCTAATTCATAACTTACCCTTAGTTAAATTACTAACCCACCCCTTAATTAACATCAAACCACCACCAAGCCCCACCACTGCACCACCTAAGCCACCATAACATTGCCACCTTAGAAACCAACATCACCACCCCATAAACCTTCCACCCACCTCCCCAAAACCCCCCTAACCCACCTAAGCCACCATAACCTCCACTGCCTAAGGTCACTATGTGAATTAATCCAAACTTGTTAACAGCAACAACTTCCATGTTTAATAGAATAGCACAAATAGTCACAAACTAATCTGAAAAAATAGCTGCTTTCTAAAATGATATGACGTCCCACTTTCACAGAATACATTTCTAGACTTCATATGTACTACGAACATTCCCATATCAATGGTAACTCTGGTATTCAAGCCAATTCCTTAAATAGGACCCCTAATCCAACGTTGCTAATTGAAGTGGGCAGAGGGATTAGATTAAGATGATAATTCCTACAACAGACCACTCAAACTGAGTGACAGGGATCACACAAGTGTAGCACAAGATTCACAAATTTATTACACTAGTAAAATATTTCTAAAACTCATAATTATACTTTAGTACAAAGTGACCAATTTTCCAAGCAGGAGTACAAAGTTGCAGCAAAACACTGATTCTCCAACAAATAAAACACAAATGGCATCATGAACAGCTCAAATCAAGAGAGAAATACGAAGTTTCTCACCCGAGCACGACGAAGCGGCTCGATATCTTTAGAAGCAAAGACACCAAACCCATCAGGCCCTTCTCGAAATTCAACACCATAAGCTCTAAAACTTCTAACATATCCAATCTTATAGAAATCTGGGTCTGCTAAATTCATCTAAAACAGAACAAACAGAATTTCATTATTCAACAAGAAGAACTAGAGCAATTAGAAATTCAGATTAAACCGAAAAGTAGGAGAAATTACCTCAGAAGGAGTTTTATCAATTTGGGGTTCCTGAAACAGTGGAAATGAAGAAGTCTCAGCCAAAGCTTTGATGGGTCGATGTATGTTTTCTGGACTACTAAATACAGAATATGGTTTTCTTGCATGTGGGAAGCCATTGTTGAAACTGCAAAGCTGCATTCAATTTACCAAACTAAATTGTGTGAGATAAAAATCAAATAAACAATGGGCATCAATATCTTGGAAATGGGATGATTGAATGTCAATAAGAGAAGGATATTGACCTTAAAATGAGAGAGAAAGCAGTGAGGTGAGTAGTGAAGAAAAATGCCGGAAGCCATGGAAATGTAAAGTGATTTTTTTTGGGGATGCAGCAATAGGAGAGAACGTTATCCTTAGTTATCGGGACTCGGGAGTTACACTAAAGGCGCGCCCCACTTTCTCTAGTGGCAATATTTTTGGTAGGGCTCGCAAAAGCTGACCCAATCCGAACCCAACCCGAAATAAATGGGTTTTGAGAAGGATTTTCAACCCGTTTATGTAATTGGGTCAATCCAAATCTGACCTGAAGTTAAACGGTCGTGTTTAGGTTGAAAATCCCAACCCGAAACCAACCCGTCTAAACCCGTTTAAGTAATCGGGTTAGTTTTAAGTTGGGTCAACCCGAACCCAACCCGCCTAAACCTGTTATCAGCCATAAGTTTACACACCCTAATTTTTAAATATAGGCCAAGCCCAAATCATCAAATGACAAAAAAAACCCTAATTTTACACCCTAATTCTCTCAGTCACGTCGCTTCCCGCTTATTCTCTTTCTCTCTGCTCTCTCTTTCCAACCTTTACTGTTTCCTCTCTCTTCTCCTCTTGTTTTCATTTTTTTTCATAAAAAAACCCTAATTTTACACCCTAATTTGCTCGTGAATCTTCATCTCAAGATTGTCAAAGGTAATTTACTTGCTAATTTATTACCTTGCTAATTTATTTACTTTACTTAATTTTGCTTTGTTTTTATGCGTTTAAATTCTTCAATTTCTTCTCAAAATTCGTTTTGTTATTATACATTTACTTGTTTCATTGTTTGCGATTTAAGTTCTTCAATTTCATCTGATTTAAGTTCGTTTGTTACTATGCGTTTTGAGTATGTGATTTTAATCTGATTTTTTCAATTTACTTCTTTTAATCTGAATTAATTATGTGTGAGATGTCTTCTTATGAGTTCTTGAGTGCTTATATGAACAAATGTGCACCAGATTTTTGTTCTGTTCTGATTAATTTGATTTTATTTGATATTTTCATGCAATTCTTAAGTCTGTTTATGAGTGAGATTTTGCGATTCTAAATTTGTTTATGAGTGAGATTACTTGGTTATACCACTGTTTTTCATGAGGTTATGAGTGAGGTTATGCGAATGTATTTGATTTTTTCATCTATTTATACAATTTTAAGTCTGCATTTGACATGAGTCTGATTATTTATTTAATTTATTCTTATTCACAGATGGTTGATAGCCTTGTTCCTGGTAAACCCATTGAACTTGCGAATTTCGAATCAAAAGATGAAGTAATTAATTCTGCTCTAATGGATTCAAAGAAGAATAACTCCAACGGCACCCCGCTTCTTATTGCTGTTATGATTGTATTTTGGACTTCTTGGCTGACAAAGGAATAAACGCGTCGTCAAATGTCTATCCCTAAATCAAATACAATTTATACAACCTAAACAAACCTAATACGAGGATAAGGCAAGCATAGGGGTCGAACCACAGGGAACGAATAAACACCACCAAATGTTATCTAAAACTAAGCTAGTCTGGAATAGGAGATAAGTAAGCTAAAGTCTAAAGATGCTAAACCAAGAAATAAAACACTAAGGGAAATGGTTTAGATATATCATTCACTCAAGCATAAACAAAGGCATAGAAATTGAATTAATTATGAACTAAACATGCTCGAATACCAAAATAAGGTCCAATCTAGCCACCTTCCGGGGTTCATTGGCTTCTCCTAACATAGCCTTTATGCTTCCACATTAGAACCATATACTAGGAGGTGCTATCAAAAATGATCGATACAAATGAATCTTGCTAGGTCCGCTATTGCATCTTCTAACAATAATTCATCCCCAATCTACAACTAACAACATGAATTTTGCAAGTAGATTGAAGAATATCAAGCATATAAAGACTTTAATCACAAATAAATCAATTCCAAACCTTAGAACATGCTCAAAATCCAACTACACCACAATCATCCCCTTAATGGGGAAATTACTCACTAATCATGATAATAACAAGATTAATTAACAAATAACCAAGAATCAACATGATTAACAAGCAACACTAACAACTAAAACAATAATCAAAAGAAAGCAAATAAAATAGATCGAGGAGAGAGAGTTAGAGATTCTCATCGATTGAAGATGAAAGTCTTCAAACAAGATGATCAATCTTCTTCTTCAAAATCCAAGCCCAACAATAGTGAAACCCTCACTTTCTCTTTCTAAAACTACTCTAATCCTAAGCTAAACCTAGAGAGAGAATCTCTCCTAAAACTAATTAAGAAAATATAATAATAGTTCTCTCACTAATTACCCAAAATGGGTATATATACAAAGTTAATAAGAGAAAATAAATAAATAAATAAATATAAATAAATAAAAAGAGGAAATAAATAAAGAAAGAAAGAAAGAAAGAAAAAGAAAAAGAAAAAGGGAAAGAGTAATTAAAAATAAAAGGAAAAGAGAATAACAAAAACCCACCAATCCCACAAAAACCATCAGACCCTATTCTTCTTCTTTGATATTGCGGCTGCTCTTGAATGGGGAAATAATCCCAAGCTTTGCGCCTCACCAAAATAGCTTCAGCAATCATCATCATCAAATCAACACCGTTCATCATCATCTCCTATCATTGAGCATCAATCAAGGCTGTTCGATTTTTATTACAATCACGTGTGAAGCTCGTGGAGTGGTTCAATCAAACCAGAGGTTGGTTCGGTCGAACCATGGGTGTGCGTGTTCGACCACTCCTCTTCAAATAAGAAAACTTCCAATGTTTCTGACTTTTTTGGCACTTCGACTGAACTCTTTGACGGTTTGCCCGAACCTTGAGAATTTGCTCTGATTTTATGGGTGTTGTTTGCATGAATTGCTGCTGCGGTAATTGATGATGGGTGCTTGTGAGAGGTAGGGTGTTTTGATGTGGCTGATTGTGGGTTGGTTGCGCGGTGATGGTGGCAGCAGGGGGTTCCGAAATGGTGGTTGCGTGAGCAAGGCTGTTGGTGGTCTTGATGGATGCGAACTGAGATTGATGATAAGGTGGTTGCTCTGTTGGTGGTGAGAGCTGCAGCATGAGGCTGCTATGGCTGAAGGTGGGAATTGGTGGTTGCATGAGGGTAACAACAGGTGTTGCGCGGCTGGGCCGTGCTGCTCTAGGAGGCTGGTGGTTGTGTTGGTTGGACTGTGATGTGTCTATTTTATATATTATTTTACCCCCGTCCCTTGGTCGTAATTAGTAGTGTTTTTGGCTCTTTAGAGCCACTTTTAATACTAATTGGTGTTTTCTAGTGCTTTCGTAGTTTTGGTTGACTTTTGCAGGGATTTGCACTTTTGGAGCATTTTCCCGAGATATTATGGAGCAATTACGAGCATTGGAGAAGTACGACCAGTTTTTATAGCCCAGGGCCGGTTAGAGCCATCGAAACGGTGATTAAGGGCTCGGTAAATGTGATATCGGGGCATTTGGACCGAGTATTCAAGACCCGAAGAGGAAACCCAGATTGGCCCGAAGAATTGGATCCCAATCGTAGTCCAAATAGTGGCCCAAGAGAGCCGCCCGACCAAAAAGGCTGGCGCCCGGAGACGCGCTCGGCTGGGCGCGAGATTCATACCTGATGAGCAAAAAGGCGCGCCCGATCGGGCGATGCCTCGCCCGATCGGGCGCGTGTTATTATTAGGACGGAGTTAATTTTGACGTTTAAGTTTGTTTTAGTTGAGGATTCTTACGGAGTATTGACAGGGTAAAGTCGTATCCCCTAACCAAAAGTAATTACCTAAGTCCTTTAACTAAAGTAGATAGGGAAGTAGGGTCGAATCCACAGGGAAACAAGTCTTTCTACTCCTAATTAATTATTATCTAAATTATCAAGGTGTAGACACCCATTTGTGTCTCCCCAAAACCAAACCCAGTGAGTGTCTCCCCAAAACCAAACCCAGTGATGAGTGCCTTTCACGTCAAATCATAATCGAATGAAACGAAAGTGTGGAAAGGTCTAGTGTTGCGGAAAGTTTTATTTCTTTTCTTTTCTCTTCTCTCTGTTTTTGAAAACTTTATTTTAGGAAAACAGCCAATTCAGTTTGGTTGGTCCATGATATGGGTCCAATAGTGGTGTAGTTGGATGGGGCTTGCAAAGACCTTTCCAACGATATATTATAAGCCCAATTCCGATGAGTATTGAGGAAGTTATGACCAATTTACTAAACTGGGCCCAGTTTGAGTTTTAAGTACGGCCCAATGATCTAGGGGAGGGTCTAATATGATTTATCATTCCTAATGTAATTAGGAATGGTTTTGGTCTTCTAGAACATTCTAGAAGGTTCTTATCATTCTTAATTCAATTAGGATTCTTTAGAGTTTTAATTAGATCAAATAGCATTTTCGACTGAAATTATATTATTTTATCTTCCAGTACGGGAATTTTATCAGAATTTCGAAAACGCGTTAAAAGCCGGTTTGGCGTCCAACCCCAGGCCTTGGCGCCTGGCACCAGGATTGGCGCCAGACGCCAGCCATTGGCGCCTGGCGCTAGCCACTGGTCCTGGCGCCAATGAGCCAGGGCTGCCGCCAATTTGTTTCTGTGATCTTCAGGCTCTGTTTTGATAAATTATCTTTTTTGGCCGATTTTCTTTATAAATATCGTATCAGAAAACTCCGTTTTCATTCATCTACAATCTACAATCTACAATCACCTACATTCACCAATTCTCCTTATTCTTTTTCATTCATCCAATTCTCTTTATTCATCATCTTTCTTTCATCAATTCTCAATAACATTAATCTTTTAGCATTCTTTCTTTCTTGCTTTTTCATACAAAATTCCGCATTCACAAGATCTTGATACACCTAGCCATATTCGAAGTTGCATTCGCCCTAGACGTGAAAGGTTTTAATTTCTGAGGGTTTGGTCTTAAATTTCTCTTTCAATTATTTAATTTAATTGCTTTGTTTATTATTTTCCTTGAAGTTACTAACGTGTGTATTTTGTAATTAGAAAGAGGTACGAGGCATCCAAGTAAGTACTTTAATGGTTTTATTGATTTTATGATGTAGACATCATGCTTAGATTGTTAATTTTGTTCCTAGTATCATGTCTAGGGTGTTTTTAATATCAAGTATGATTAAAAGTATGATGCTTCCTATGTTCTTTCTAATAT